GCGGGCAGGCTACCAGGGTGGGTGGGTGGCGGGCAGGCGGGGTGGGATGCATGCAGAGCCGCGCGGCGCCTCCTCGAGACTGCACGATCTCCGCTTGCGCCGCCGCTGCATGCCTCAGCACGCCCCCACATCCACGCCCGCGCCCGCGCCGGCCCGCGGCCCGCCTTACTGCTGCAGCACTGGGCAGCGACTGCGTCACCGTTGGGTGGGGCCGTGTCCAGCGCAGTGGTCCAGATCTTTGGATGTGAGCCCCCGCCGCGCCGCGCCGCATGGCAGCAGCGGCAGCGGCAGCGGCAGCAGCGTGCACGCCGCCGCAGCCGTGCCGCGCCGCGGGCTCTGCGCCCCGTGGGCCGTGGCAGGCGCTTGCAGGCGCCCTGCGCCTGCGGCCCTCGCCATTTCCTCGCTCATCCCACGTGCCACCCCCCTGCTGCCGCCGCCGCCGCCGCCGCCGCCTGCCGCCTGATGCAGACCCGATGGCTAAGTGGCTGCTGAGGCGGCGCGTGGCGCCCCGCTCCTTCGTGGAGGTGCTGCACGACATGTCCACCGTCTCCCTCAAGGGCATGCCGCGCCCACCCAGCATCAAGGAGGGCGAGGTGGGCAGGCGGTGGAGCCGGCTGCGGCGGGGGCCGCGCCGGCGCGGCCGCACAAGGCGGCCTCCGCGCCGCACGGCTACCCCCGAGGCCCGCCTGCTGCTCCTGCTGCTGCTGCCCAAGCTGGGGAGCTGCCAGAGGCGGCGGAGGAGGACAAGGCGCTCAACGGCGCCGAGGCGGGCAGCGGCGCGGCCGCGCGCAAGGGCGGCGGCGGCGGCAAGGGCGGCGGCGCCGAGGCTGGCAGCTCAGGGGACCTCCCTGTCAGGCAGCCCAATGCACCATGCCCCATTGTGCAAGGGCCGCAGCAGGATGCGACATTGAGTGTTGTTTCTCTGATCAACCGAAACAATGTTTGCATAGAGCACATGCGCTAGGCGCCAATGCTGTGTAAAGCCAGAGAGAGCGCTTCCCTTTTGAGAGGGGTGGAGGGGAGCCTGTGGTTTGGAGCACCCGCCAGCGACACGTGCAGGAGCAAGCTGTCCTGAGCTGGCAGTGGCAGATGTCTTGAATGGAATCAGATTCAGCGGAAGGCGCGCCTCAGGAAGACCTGGCAGCAGTAACTGTAGCAGCAGCTGGCGCCAGCAAGAAAACGGGCATGCCCTGCCCTCTCATTCACCCTTCTGGTTGGTTGTTTTCTTCACACATGGTGTGAGGCATTACAGGTGAAACAGGAAATAATGTGGTTATCGGCGGACAGCGCGCTCAGCGGTGAAGGGTGGGAGTGTTGGTTGCACAGAGTGATGGGTGACAAGAGAGGCAAGCAGCAGAGGAGCTGTGAAGAGCAGGAGAAAACAGTGAATGAAAAAAGGGTGGTCAAATGGCCAAGGGATGTATAGGCAAATGAGGAGAATCAGGGGCAGAGGCATATACAGTGCCTGCAGGTACAGGCTCAGTGGTGGTTGCCGGCGTGGTCGCTGCGCTGCACGTGGAAGAGCTCGGGGTCGGGGCACAGCAGGCTTTGGTAGGTGTGGCGGTCGTAGCCCACGGTGTAGGAGCGGGGGAAGTCGAGGTGCGGGGCGCGGGGACGGCCATCCTCCACCGCCAGCCACACGCGCACCAGGTGGCGCTTCTCGTGCGCCGCCTCGCCATCCTCGTAGGCGGAGCGGCGGTGCAGCAGGGTTGCGTTGTTCATGAAGCAGCAGTCGCCGGGCTGCAGGTGGGTCTGGAACTCAAACCGCGGGTCTGAGGCAATCTCGATGAACATCTCAATCGCCTCCTCCATCTCCGCCGTCATGGGGCCCAGCAGCTCAGGCCACTGCTTGTGGCAGGCGCGGGTGTGGCCGGGGTGGAAGTGCACGCTGAGGCGGCCCTCGTGGTAGTGGAACACGGGCATCTCCCACACGGGCAGTCGCCGGGGCGCACATCCTGGTACTTGGTGCGGTCGCGGTACCAGCCGGGGCCCGCCAGGCATGCCACCAGGTCGCCACGCCCGCGCCGCAGCATCTCGTTGTGCACAGCCAGGGCCGAGGACCAGCCGCTGACGCCGCCGGACTTGGCCTGGCTGATGCACAGCAGGCCCAGCACGTCGGCCTGCGCGTCGGTGTGCCAGTCAAACTCAAGGTTGGTGGCGTGGCCCTGCTGCGCAGACTTGCCGTCGCTGCCGCCCTGCACAAACTTGGCGCCGGGGGCAACCTTGATGTGGCTGATCAGGCTGCCCTGCTTGTTCCAGGGGGTGCGGTACCCGATGTGCGCCGCAAGGCCCAGGTAGGCAGCCAGGTTCTGCCACTCGCTCCAGCGCTGCGCCGGCAGGCCGCGGATCACCAGCACGCCGTTGCCGTGCAGAAGGTTGTGCTTCTCAGCCGCCAGACGCGCCTCCAGCGCCGCAGGCAGCGGGAAGTCGGTGGGGCGCTTCAGGGAGGTCAGGGGCACGCCCGCCGTGTGCAGCGCCGCCACGCGCTCCTCCACCGCCGCCACGTCCTCCTCGCTCAGCTGCAGCAGCCACTCAGACTGACGCTGCGCCAGGTCGGCAGCTAGCCAGGCCTGAGGGTCGTCGATGATGGTGTAGGGGCGCACGCAGCCCTGGGGGCCGCTCTCCAGGGTCACTGGCCCAGTGGGGGCCTTGAGGCCCTCCAGACCCTCAGACTCCACGTGCACCGTGGCCACGCCCGACTTGCCCTTGGAGAGGCCGCGGCTCAGGGCGGCGGACAGGCAGTGCTGCGCGGGCTCCTCAAAGGGGGAGTTGCCCAGGGCCACGGGGGCAGACTCGCTGCAGCAGGCGGGGAGGGTGGGCGCGGGGCAAGGTGTGAGAGCAGGGTGCAGACAAAGCCCAGTGCCTCCAGCCAGCTGATCCCTTCCCAGCCAGCCAGACAGACAGCCAGACAGACAGACAGCCCAGCCAGGCAAACAATAAAGCAGCTCCAAACCAGCTGCTCGGCTGTTTTCACCCAACCCACCTGACGCGCGCCAGGCGGGGCGGCAGGGACAGGGACTGCGCCAGCTCGCAGCCGGTGGCGGGGACGCTGCTGGGCTGCTGCACGGTCGCCATTGGCTTCAGTTGCACACGCGGGGGCTTGGGTCGGGGTGTGTGCTGGGAATAGAGCGCGAAGAGCAGGAGGAGAGCTGGTTGTGAGCGCTGGTTAGACTGTGGGGTGTGATTGATGTGAATCGGATGCGGGGGCGAAGCCCGGCCCTGATATAGCGTCGCTATTAGCGAGGTGGTTCAGGTGCCAGATGGCGCGGCCTGGGCGCGGGTGTCCACATGCCCCCCTGGCACCAGCTGGCGGCGCCGACGGGGGTCACCTGCGGCATTGGGGGTGCAACCGCTGATTTCAGGGCTCCCCAATAGAGTCCCACCCGACGGTGTATATCGATCAATATTGTCCCATATTGTGCACAGGCCCTCGACTGCCTCCAATCATCACAAACGCGCTCAAACCACCTCCATGTTCCCTGCCGAGGGCCGGCGGGGGGCCGACTGCTGCTGGCACCGTGCCGGCGCACCCATACCCAACTGCGCGGCAGCCGTGTGCTGAGCCCCAGCCTGCACCACTTCTCTGCCGCAGTGCTTCGCCGCCTCGCCCATCGTGTCGTGCTTCAAGAGCAGCGCCGCCATGGCCGCCGTGTTTGGCTACCTGCTGCCCACAGTGGGCCTGAGCTACCTGGAGCAGCGCTCCCGCTCCACCTTCGCCAACATGCTCCAAGCTGCCGTTGGCCAGGAGGCCTAAGCATTGGCAGAATGCATTGATATTCAATTTTCCCTCGGCAAGGACCTTAATTGTTTGGGCATGGACCGGCCAAGGCATCACGGATGTCTGTTGTCCTTGTGGGGACGACACCCCAGCACGCTGAATCGCATGCATCATTTTTGCCCCTGACCAGAGCGGGCGCCACTGCAGCTTTTTTTAGCACTTTTAGCACTGCTCCCACCTTTACCAGCTTACCTCAGTGCTGCCTGAAACATCCACAAGCCATTGGGGGGCTCGCTGTCCTGCGCTGTGCGGTGCCGGCCACTGTTGGGTAGGAGCGGGGCGGCGGCACCCCGGTGGAACCCAAGAGCCCCATCGGCAGCCGGTCTATCTTTCTCAGTCGCCAGTTCCCGAGCCTGCTCCGGCATGCAGAACATGCAATCGGGAGGCGTGCACGTTTGTGACCCCCGAATCGCTGCTGGCACCAGCTTGAGCAGGGCCCGGGCCACCCTTCGAAGAACTGAGGTCCCTTCTTCCTTCACACGATCGCGGCTACTTCGGACACTGCTTTGCTACTGTAGGGCTCCTCTGCACTTGTGCCTGCTCCTGGTATCACACCGTTCGTTCGCCTGCAGCCACGAGGTGTTAGATAGTAGACGCTTCCGCGGTGCGGAGCTGCAACTAGGGAACCGGAGGTAGGGCGCGGCGATGGGGCCGCGATGGTGCTCACCCTGGCCGCTGGGCCTCGAGCACGGGTTAGCATGTTTGCGACCAGCCAGAGGAACAGATGCGCTGCCGAGAGCATGCGCGAGAGGGGTCACTGGGCGTGTGGACAGTGTCCCACGGCTGTTCTCCACGGGGCAGCCCAGCAGCGTGGCCACATGTCCCCAAGCCGCCCACGGTTGTTGCTGCACGGCGGCCGGGGCCGGGCCGCGCAGCCGTCCACCAAGCACTGCCGCGCCGCGCCGCCACCGGACACACAGCCAGCCGCTGGGCGCCCCCTGCGCCGTCCTGTGCGCTGCAGGCGCCCCCCAGCCTGGTCCACGCCATGACCACGGCAGCCACCCAGAAGCTGCAGCTGCTGGCGGATGCGCTGGCGCTGGAGTTCAGCCAGAGTCTGGCCAGCGCGCAGTGTGCGGCCGCCCTTAAGCGGGTGCTGCCGGGACTCCAATACCTGAGGTGCGCACCCAGGGCCCTCCCGCCTGCAACGCCCCACGGCCCCGACCGCCGCATGGCGGCTACTTGTGATGGCGTTGCCTGCTCGCCCGCCAGCCGCTGCCTGCCACGCCTGATTTGCCAACACCGCGCGCCGTTCCCTCTCTCGCCCTGCAGCATCGCGGTGAGCAACCCCGCCCAGGCCGGCAGCATCGTGGCATCCGCCAACTGCGCCGCAGGTGCACCAGCGGCGTCGAGCGGCCCGCAGGGAGGCCGGCAGGCGCCTCGCGACGCTCGCAGCGCTCCCTGCCGCCTTCCCTTCCCGCTGCTTGGTCACAAGTCGCCCCCCGCTGCCGGCACCCCTGTTTCCTTGCCGCAGAGGGCCCCACCACCCTCCACCTGCACGACCCGATTTCCTCAGTCGTGGGTCTGGCCATGGATCGCGGCCAGCCGCTGCAGACCAGCCTGGTTGGCGACGCGGCAGCCAAGGCTGTGCCCGGCCTTACCGACGTGCAACAGATGGTGGCAGCCGCCCCCGCAGCCACGCACCTGCTGTGCATACCCTTCGGCTGCGGCGACGGCGGCGACGGCGCGGCCGGCGCCGCGCCTCCGTGCGAGGTTCACGGCGCCGCGGGCAGCGGCACCGGCGCGCTGCTGTTTGGCCTGGCCGGCCCTCCAGAGCTCGATGACAGGTGTGTGTGTGTGTGAGTGTGGGCGTGTGTGTCAACGTGTGTGTGTGTGTAAGGGTGTATGTGTGTGTGTGTGTGGGTGTGGGCGTGTGTGTCAGGTGTGTGTGGGTGTTTAGATGTCGTGTGGGTGTGGGCGTGGGGGTGTGAGTGGGAGGAGCTGCGCTGGGAGGCTGCTCCGCCCGCCTTCACCCTCTCCCGCCCTCTCACCCGCTCGCGCCTGGGCTGCCGCTCCGAGCATGCGCACGTGCGGTGGCAGGGAGGAGAGGAGAGCCGCGCGCCGCCTGGCTGCCCCCCCTGTCTCCTTCCCTTCGGTGCCTCACGGCCGCGGCTCCCCTGCTCCCTGCCTTTTCCTGCCGCAGGCGCAAAACCGCGCTGGCGATGCTGGCCCAGTGCCTGCCCGCCCCCATGGCCCGCCTCTCTGCCGACACCCTGGCATTTGTCAACCTGGCCTGCGGCAACGCCGCGCAGTGCAGCTGCTGCTGCCCGCACGACAGCGACGGAGAGGAGGAGGAGGGCATCGTGCCGGGCAGCCCCTGCGGCGACGACCGTCACCCCAACGGTGGCGGAGGCGCCGGCGCGCCCGGCCAGGCGCTGCGCGTGCCGGCGGCCAGCTCGCCGGCCGCTGGCGACAAGGCCGGGGCGGCGGCAGACCCGGACCGCGCCGGGCCCAGCTCCCACGGCTGGCAGGACCCGGCAGAGGGCAAGCGGCGGGGCAAGGCGGCGGCGGCCGCGGCCGCGGCCGCCGCCGGCGCCGCCGCCGCGCGCATGCCGCGAGAGGTGCAGCCAGGTGCGTGCTGCGCAAGGCTTTCCTTGCCGTGCCGTGCCGTGCCGTGCCGTGCCGTGCCGTGCCGTGCCGTGCCGTGCCGTGCCGTGCCGTGTGGTGCCGTGCCGTGCCGTGCCGTGCCGTGCCGTGCCGTGCCGTGCCGTGCCGTGACGTTCTGTGTGGTGCCGCCTTCCTCCTGCCTCCCCCTTCACACCTCTTGCTGCCTCCCGCTGCCGCGCCCGCAGCCGCGCCGCCGCTGCGCTTCAGCAAGGCCCTGGTGGCTGCCGCCGGGGAGGGGGCGGGCGTGGCGGCACAGAACCCGCTGACCCTCGCCTTCCGCTCGCCTCTCATGGAGCGGGAGTATGGGCGGTGGGTTGCGCGGTACCACTTCAAGGTCGACCTCCTCTTCTCCCTGCTCCTGGCCACAGCGCTGACCATCGTCTCCTTTGTGCGGGTGAGCCCACACACGCGCCCCGTCGCCTGCCACGGCCCGCCGCGGCCTGCCTCGCAGCGTGCCCCGTGCCTCGCACGCGCCTGCCTGGTGCCCCTGTGCTTCATTCAGCCCGGGGGCCTGTGTTGAGTGTACCTGGGGTGCCGAGGTTGAGCGCTGCCCCCCTCCTGTCCTGCGCACCCGCGCATCTCCTCTCCGCCTCTCATGCGCTGTACCGGCCTGCTTCCTGCCGTACCGCAGCCGTACCGCCTCATCGACCTCACCCCCGGCAGCATGCTGCTGGGGCTGGGCATGCTGCTGCCGCTGGCCGCCAGCTGGTTCAGCAGGCGCCTCTATACAGGTGAGCGCGGGTCAAAGAGTGCTGGCCTGCCCACTTGCCCACCCTCCTCCTGTGGGCCTGCCCACTCGCCTGCCTGCATGCTTGCGGCCCCTGTTTCCGCATGCCGACATGCCCCACCCGCGCCGCGACGCGATCGCGCTAGCTGGCCCCGCCTCCCGGGGGCCAGGACCAACCAGCTGCTGCAAAGAGCTGGCCTGCCGCGCCGCTCCTCGCTTAAGCCGTACCACTGCCGCCGCCCTGCGCGTGCAGCCTGGCGGGACCGCCTGGTGGTCGCCATGCGGCTGTACGTTGTGGCCTTCATCAACCTGGTGTCCCTCAGGAGCTACCAGGTAGCTTCCGAATGGGGAGAGGGCATGGCATGCTGTGATTCGTGGGCAGGAGGGGCCTCCCCAGGGGGCCCATGGTTCCCCGCCGCACGGCTGGCTGCTTGCGGCCGTGCGCCTCAGCGGCCTCGGCCCTGGGAGAAAGAGACGGCGGGGGAGCCGGGGCTGCCGGCGGCAGGGCCGCCGCGCGCGGCCCCTCGCCCCTGCGTGATCAGGGGGCGGCGGTGCCACCCCCTGCCACCCCGCTGCCGCGGAATTCGATCAATCACAGGCGGCGCCCTCCCCTGCGCTGCAGGCCTTGCTGGCGCCGGAGCGGGTGCAGCAGTGGGTCACGTTCTGGATGCTGACGGGGGCGGAGAGCCTGTGCGTTACCGCCCTGGGCTTCCCGGTGCGTGGTGTGGTGTGGTGTGGTGTGGTGTGGTGTGGTGTGGTGTGTACCTGGTCGCCTGCCTGCCTGCACTCCCCGCCAGCCAGCGCCACCGCCGGGCGGCATGCCGCGCTGGGCGCCTGCCGAGCAGCTGCTGTCCCGCTGTGCTGCGCTGCGCGCCTGCAGATCCGCATGCAGCTCCACCTGCCGCTGCAATTCGCGGCCATGGGCGTAGCTGCCTGGAACCTGCCCCGCATGTGCTCCGAGGTGAGGCGGCGGCCAGCCGCAGCCGGGTGCCTGCAGAGGCACTTGCTCCAAGATTTCGCATGGGCAGCCGCGCCAGCAACAGCTGGCTGCATTGTGGGTGGCCCCTGCTGCCATGCGGTGCCATGCGGTAGCAAACCAACCTTCAGCAAAACCAACCTTAAGCAAACCAACCGTTGGTGTGTGGCTGCCGCAGTGCTACCCAGACACCGACCCCGGCGTCTGCTTCAAGAGCAGCGCCACCATGGCCGCCGTCTTTGGCTACCTGCTGCCCACGCTGGGCCTGAGCTACCTGGAGCAGCGCTCCCGCGCCGCTTTTGCCAGCCGCCTGCACGCCGCGGCCGCCCACGAGCGCTGAAGGGTGGCGCTGACGTGGGGCGCGGCGGCGCCAGGCGGGCGCCAGCCGTACCGTATATTGTACCGCCTCCCAACCCTCCAGGCTCCGCAGCCCCCGGGGGGCTGCACCGCTGTGCTACCCACAGAGCCGCCGGCAGTTGATTGTAGCAGCGGTCCCCATCGCACTCTTTAAGTATCGAGCGGGCCTGGGCATGGTTTGAATGCCTGGCCTCCCACCAACAGCACATCCTGCCAACCAAGACGCAGAGTGAGCCCCTAAATCCCCTTGCCCTAGCACTGGCTCGGTTGGCGGCGCTTCGGCGCCGCCGCCCTGCATGTACACCTTCTCCCTTCTTTGCACAAATGGATGCGCCTGCGAATTCTTCTCTCCTTTTTTTCTCTCCTTTCCCACATAGCTGGCTCCCTTCCGACCAGCAGCGAACCTGCTTCGCCCCACCTGCCTGCCTCTGGTGCTGGCCCTCTCAGTTTGTTTGGCACGCACGTGCTGCATGAAGGTGTCTGCTAGTGAATTCAAGCTGCTCCTAAAGTGAATTTAAGCTGCCTATTGCCCCCAGGGGGCCCTCTTCCACCCCTCTTTACACCTGCTCCTCCAGCTGTTGCCTGCGGCGAGGGGCGCCCGCAGCCGGGGCCGTCCCCAGCGCTAGCTTCCGCTTGTTGTCTCCGCCTGGCTGCACTGCCAGTCCATTCTTTTCTTTCCTCCTGGGTCTAGGATATGACAGCCATCTTGGATGTAACAGCCCACATGTCACAGGATTCCTGCGCATACCAGTGTGTCGCATCGCAAGCCACCTGCAGCCACCCAGCCGGAAGCTCCCGCCTCCCCTCTGCGTCAGTCGGCCCCCCTGCCGCTGCCCGGCCGCACCGCGGCGCTGCCCTCACGGGACGCCTCGGCGATGGTGCTTATCTCCGCCCCCGCCGTGCTGCCTGCCCTGGCCCCCGCCGCCGCAGGCGCCTCCGCCCTGCTCCTCGCTTTCTTCAGCTTGGGCAGCTTGGCCGCCGCATCCTTGGCGGCGGCCTCCTTGGCGCCCATCCCGCCTCCAGGCTTGGCCCCCGCTGCCGCAGCGGCGGCGCCCCCAGCGGCTCCCTTGCGGGTGAAGGCCGCCTGGGCGGTGGGAGCCACCTGCTGCGCCCGGGGCAGAATGGAGTCGACAAAGGCGCGGGTTTGCTCCTGCGGGGGGTGGGTGGGTGGCAGCGCACACAGCAGGGCACGTCTTGGATAACGGTTGCAAACCTGCATCGTCCACCTGTCATGCAGCAGGCGGCTCTGCCAGCACGCCACCTCCCCACACCCGCCGCCAAGCAGCCGGCACGCGGCCTGAGCAGCGCGCGCCGCCAGGCAGGCACGGCTGACCGAGAGGAAGGGGCAGGCCTCCAGTGTCTCCAGGCTGCCGCGCGCCAGCTTGGCGGCCACATGCACCAGCGCCGCACAGAAGCTCTGGTAGCTCATGCTGGCTCCAGACAGCTGCGCCGCTGAGCTGGCGCTGAAGGGGCGGCTGCTAGGCATGCCGCCGCCGCCGCCGCCGCCGCCGCCCTGCCCGGAGGCCGGCCGCGGCGGCTGGTCGGGCGCAGGCCCGGCAGAGGCGCCGCCGCTGGGCACGGCCTCCAGGTGCAGCTGGCTCATGGCCCGCGCCGGGGCCGCGCCGCCCTTCATCACCGCCTGGCGCAGGCAGTAGCGGCGGAAGACGTCGGTCGCCTCCTGCACGTGCAGCGTGTTGTCGGAGCGGGTGCGGGTGCCCGGCACCAGGTTGGTGCTGCCAATCTCCTGCACAGCAGCGCCCGGTGCGGCCAGACGGCAGTCAATCACTCAACCCATCAATCAATCTCAGCTGTGCTGCCTGGGGGAAGCTCCCCTTTTTGTTTTCATGCATGCCATCCCGCCGCGCTGTCCACCTTCATGAAGGCCAGCCAGCCCCCCAGGGACAGCTTGGGGGGCCAGTGCCGCGCAAACCCAGCGTCCAGCAGGCAGTAGTGCAGGAAGGTGGCGTGCAGGTCGCCCTGCGGGGGCGGGGTAGGGTGGCCAGGGCAGGGCAGGGTGGAGGCAGGGGCAGGGAAGGGCAGGGCAGGCCAGGGTATGTAGAGGTATGGGGCGAGGCAAGTTGGAGCCCCCGGGCAGTGTTACAGGCAGCCTGCTATGGTAAGAAGGGCGAGGCCTCAAACACTGCACACCCCACCCGCCCCCGACCAGGCAGGAGCTCCAGCCGGTACCCAACACCGCATCCTGGGTTGGTCACAGCCGGCGGCGGCGCACCTGGCACGTGTGCAGCACCTTGGACAGCGAGTAGCGCTCGCCCGCGGGGTCGCTCTCCCGCATCAGCAGCTCGTCCACCGCCTGCAAGGCAGTCGTTGGGTGCGCATGTTGGGTGCAGGCGTAGGGAAGGCACAGGTGGGGAGCTTTTGTGAAGTGCAGGCCGCCCACGGTCGGCGCTGCGTGCACAGATATGCACAGCTGGCACCCAGCTGTCTACGCTGACGCATGCTGAAGTGACTGAGCCTGGAGATGCATGCAGCCGCTGCACCGGAGGCTCCCAGCAGCCACTGGCCCCATCTCAGCTGGCGCATAGCGTGCGGGCCCAGCCCGGCCCCCATCACACACGCACATACACTCGCCTGCAGCGTCTCCGCATACTCCACCTCGGGCCGCCCCTGGCCCCACAACACCCTGCCCGCCTCTGACAGCGTCACCGCCCCGGGGCTGCCATCGCCGGCATCGCCCAGCGTGTGCTGATAGAACACTGCAGGCAACGGCAGCATGATCGGCAGTGAAATACAAGTATGTAGTAAAGTTGTCCTTTCTGCTCTCGCGCCAGTCGATGCAAGGCAAGGGCAGCTCGGCTGCAGGGTTTCCAGCAGCCCTGCCGGCGCAGCATCGCAGGCCCTGCCGCCCCGCCTCACCCATCTGCTTCTTCAGGGCATCGCACGCCGCCTGCTCCTCACGCAGCCGCTCCTGGACCGACTGCAGCTCCGCCTCTGCCCTCGCCGCGCGCAGCCCCGCATCCTCCTGCTGCCGCTGGAACTGGCTTATGGATGTGAAGGCGGTGCCGCGCTCCGAGTCCAGAGCCGCCCGCAGCTGGCCGCGCTCCACGTCGGCGCCCGCCAGCTTGTGCTGCGCCTCGGCCAGCTGGCACGCCAGCCTGGACCACAGCATGCACAGCACACAGCGCTCAGGAGGGTGGTCTTGTTGTGCGTGAGGAGCATCCAACAGCCCAGGCTGCGCAGCCAGCCCGCCCAGCCAGGCAGGCAGCATCTTCACCAGTG